AACTAAGGAAGAGACACTGCCCCAATTTATGGTGGAGAAAGGGAGACCTGAACGCTTTGTCCAAATGCCACCCTGCCCTTGGCAGGGCAGAGAACAGACTCTTTTACCGGTTGTTTTGTTTATCCTTGAAGAACTCTACTTCATTGCTCATTTCCAATTATTTTCCTACAAAGGCAGCTCTGGAGAAGGGGGGTGGTGCGATGGGACACCTATTAGGGATGGAAAACACCTACAATTATGCAAAACTGGTAGAGAAAAGAAGCCCATTTATAACAGAACCACTTTAATCCTTCCACTGCATAGAGAAAGCAGATCCAGACTTCAAGGAGAATAATTGCTGTTATTGGCTTATTATATGAAGGGTGGGTAAACACCCAGAAGCAAGAGAAAGTCTCCTTTTCCTGGTACCCCAAGGATTTATCCAGTTCCGAGTTAGCCAACAGTCACACCTCTGAGATGCAGGGACCGGTTACGTACATCATTGCCTTCCAGCTCAAACACTTCGAACTGCAGAGAGATCCGGTACTGGGCTGGAGCTACCACCTGCCAGACGCAGTTTTTGTTAGTAGGATATTCCTTGGGCCATCCAGGGCTAGTAATGGTCCCATTGAGCTTGGTGATGAAGCCCCCACAGGCAGCTGGAGAGGCAATAAATGAACACAAGTTTTACTTGGTTCTGTTCAGACACACAGATTGGGCCACACTGGTAGCTAGGAGATGAACTGGCCCCTGGTTGGTGGCACATTGCAAATCCTGGCCTCCAGAACAGGTTTAAAATGCTGGGAGCCTGCAAAGATGACCGAAACCTCAGCTGCTACAAATCACCAGTGAAACACACACACCGGGCTATGACCCTGAGCCACTCACACGGTGTAAGGTCAACCTCCTTCTTCTTCTCTAGCCTTGGGCTTACCGTGGATCTGTTGACTTGACATGCACAATACAGTTGTACAGGCTAGCTTGGCAAATTCACCCACACTCAGCCCTACAACCCTTACTCCTTCAAGTTTATCAGTAATGGAATAATTAGAAAATAGCGGAATCCTAGGGAAGACATCCCTGTCAACTCTTCAGTGGCTTATTGTATGTGGATTGCATCTTCTCTAGGGAAAACTGAAGACAAAGCCAAAGACTTAGCTTTATTATCCCATTTCCTTTAAAAATTTGGGACATCTCAACTTCATCGTCTTGTGGACGGCTTTTACCTCAAAGGAATCAACCTCAGTTTGCTCTTTTGCTGCAAAATCCTATTTGCAACAAAGCAATTTTTTCTTGCTGTTTCCTGGGGGTACTGAGACACAGCCAGATCTTCAAAACCCACAGGGATAAAAGGTTCCTGCACCATGTTCCCAGCATCATTTTACGTTAAGAGAACTAACCCAAGGGAGCAGCTTCAATACAAAAAGTGTAGCGAGCAAGTGTGTCTGGAGAAACCAAAGCAATTTACTCTGATGTGCCTGGCTACAATTTCAAAGACTACCCTTCCTACATTGCCCACAAATGAACTTTAAAATAGTTAAGAGTGAAGTTCAAAAACCACTTGCCAAGTTATACCAGCTGGCTTGCTCAAAATTGCAAGAAATTGTTTTTAAAAATAAAGTAAAGCTTCCAAAAGCCTTCTGCACGCCCCTAGCTCTGCCCTCACCAAGCCAACAGCAGCCTTCCCCAGAGAGCTGGGTAATAGCAGAAGGCAGGGCAAGTCGGGTGACTCCGAGCACAGCCCTCACAGCACATGGAGCTCCCTGCAGGTCTCAGCTGAAAGGCAGAGCCAGAAGGCAAGAACAACGGGTGGATTCTCACCACTCCAACAGCTGTATTGCTGGCAGGAGCAAACACTTGTTGCAAGAGATTAACTAAATATACATATTTATGTATAAATAGGAAGCTGACAGAAAGAGTTTCTATCGAAGACATGGAGCTTTTTCCCCCATAACAGAAGAAGGGAATTGACTCCTCGGTATGGAGAATCTCTGCTTTGCATGCAGGCAAAACATCAATATTTTACTCTACAGAACAAATTTCTTTAAAAAACCTAATAAATTTAGAACAGGGATCTCAGGCCATAAGGGACAACTGGTTTTAGAGACGTTTACCTGTAGAGAATCAGAGTATTTTCAGTTTTTCAACCAAAACTTGTTTTTCAGTGGAAGATGTCGATAAAAAGAAATTTTTCAGGTTGAGGAAGATAACAGAAGCAAGGAGGATGCAGGAGCAAGGAAAATCATCTCCAAGACTGTTCAATTTCATCATTAGCTGTAGTACTCATCCTATAGACAGATGCCTCAATCTGTAGGTTACTCACCTTCACAGCTCTTTTTATCAGCTGTCAACTCATAGCCAGGCTCACAGGTGCATTTGTAACTGCCCAGCGTGTTCTCACAGTGCTGCTCACACCCACCATTGTCCGGCAGAGAACATTCATCCACCTCTGTCAGGAGAAGACCAGAACAAGTCACACTTTCCTGACCACCCAAACCCATCATAATCTTCATGCAACACTTCTGGGCAGAACCACCAGAGCACTGGCTGAGGAGCCGAGCCCACGGAGCAGGCATGGCAGAAACCTCACAAGTGCCTAAAGCACTCAAACCACCAAAACTGTTACTAGTCAGGAGTGCTTTTTCTAGACAGGAGCAGGAAAATGTGGTGTCCTGTAAAGACTTCACTGCATTTTGTTCTCATTTTCCCCTGTTTTGTTTTGTTTTTTAAATTCTTCATGCTCTTGAGTGACTTGAGCTCTAAGGATCCAGCCCATTATGGTGCCCACAGCAAGGAGCTGTGGGAGGCCGTACCCTGCTGAAAAGTTCTTCCTTTTCATAGACACATGAAGTCTTGCTCCCCTAGACTCTGAAGTCAGGTTCTTCCTTTTCATAGACACATGAAGTCTTGCTCCCTTAGACTTTGAAGTCACGTTCTTCCAACCCCATCTCAACAACACAAACTGACATTTTTATACACAGATAGCCAGAGGTACTGGCTTCTCGCCCCAACCTCTGGTTCCATGCACACCCCTTAACAGATGGGTTTATTAGCATGGTTGTGGTGGGCTGGCCTTAGCTAGCAGACAAACCACCCAGCCGCTTGCTCACTCCCTGGCCCCCTGCTCCAGTGGAATGGGGGAGAGAATAGGAAGAACTGGAGCAAGAAAGCTCCTGGGTTGAGACAGAATCACAGAATGTTCCGGGTTGGAAGGGACCTCTGTGGGTCATCTAGCCCAACCCCCTGCCCAAGCAGGGTCACCTAGAGCAGGCTGCACAGGACCACGTCCAGGTGGGTCTTGAATAACTCCAGAGAAGGAGAGTCCACAACCTCCCTGGGCAGCCTGGGCCAGGGCTCCGTCACCCTCAGAGGGAAGAAGTTCTTCCTCATGTTCAGCTGGAGCTTCCTCTGCTTCTGTTTGTGCCTGTTCCCCCTTGTCCTGTCGCTGGGCACCACTGAACAGAGTCTGGCCCCGTCTTCCTGATGCCCACCCTTCAGATATTTAGAGGCATTTCCAAGGTCCCCTCTCAGCCTTCTTTTCTTCAGGCTGAACAAGCCCAGCTCCCTCAGCCTTTCCTCATAGGAAAGACAGGGAAATTACCCACCAATTACTGTCGTGGGCAAAACAGACTCAACTTTGGGGAATTTAATTTAATTCATTGCCAATTAATATAAACATTTCAGCACCGATTCAGGTATTGGGAAACAAACACTGGGGGGAAAAAAAAAAAAAAAGAAACAAATGTTAAAAGGCTTAGGGAAAACACGTTTCGGCTGCCCTTTGCCAGGCTCAACTTCACTCCAGGCTCCTCTCCTCCTGTCTTGTACCACTGCAGCTTACAGCCAGTCCCTTCAGCAGAGCCACGAGCGTGCAAAGGCAGGAGGGGATAGGAGCTACAGCCAGTACATATCTTTGCTGCTCCTTCCTTCTTCTCCTTCCCCCTGTGCCAGCATAGGCCCTCCACGGGCCGCAGGGAACATCTGCTCTGCCATGAAGCCCCTCCACCTTCTCCTCCTCTGACCTGGGCATTACCTCTGCTGTTTCACACTTTCTGTTCCCTCCTCCTCCCTCTCCCCATCTTTTTCGACCTTCCTTAAATGTGCTTTGACAAAGGGACCACCAGCTCAGCCGCGTCCTGCCACGGGTCCACTGCAGAGCCAGCCTGAGCACGGGGCAGCCCCCACAGTCCCAGCGCCTGGACACCCACACCCAACGTCACGCTCCAGCTCCATCAGCTCCTGCTGAGCAGGTCAGACAGGAACGGTCTTGACTGGATGGTCATTGCAAGTCCCTGGTTTCTGTTTTTTTTCTGGTTTCTGTTTGTGTATTGACTATGAAGAAAGCAGAGCATTTCTTTGCTGCTCCCTGCTTGTGTACAGGTTCAATAGCTTCTCATCTGGCTGATAAATCACTCGCTTGAGAGAAAAGGGAGGCTGCAACTCCTACAGTCACCAAAAACTCCTGCGATCCATCTTTACCGTGAGACAGATGTGTCCTGGCTATGGGCAGGTATATTTTGCAAAGCATTGTGTTTCCTCTAATGTTTGCCATGCAGAAGAAAGGCACAACAACGTGCGTGTGAGACAAGCACATCACTACCAACACTTCCACCGTACACAAAAGAGGCTTCAGTGATACAAACAATTTGTTACCAAAACGAAGATAACTAGTGAAGAATAATCCTAGAGCTTTCCCTCGGGTTATTCATGGTGGGATAGACACAAGGCAATCGTCAGGTCATCCGGACGTTGCCTCTTGGATGTGACCAATGACTTGCCCTCCCTGAGCTGCCTTACTCTCCCTGAGCTGTTTGCAGGTTGATCTTCTCTGAAAAGTTACAAGCTACCACTGCAAGTTCTCACAAAGCGTAACATTCAACTCCAACCTTATCTCTGTTTGTTTTTTTAAGCCAACTTCAGCGTTGTCAGACAGATGATGGAAGCTCTATTCCTTTCACAATTCCTTAAAGCAAAGCTGACCCATTGCTCAATCAGCTACGGGTGGCAGTCTGAGGAGTGCCCGCAGAGCCATCGACTTTGTCCGTTGACTTTGTTTGTGGAGTGGCTGGTAGTCACAGTCCCTCTGGATACGGAGGTAAAGGCTGCAGAGCTCAGATCCCAGCCTGAAACTCCCGACGTGGCCTGCAGGTACGTCCACCCAGCTTTTGCAAACCGCCCTCAGCTCTGCCCGCCAGGAAGCTGGCTAGAAGCTGTGTAGCCATGGCTACTCTGGCGCTTGGTCCGAGCAAACACGCTGCGCTCCTCAGCTGAACGTACCGGCATGGAGGCAGCAACACCCTCACAACCCACAGGCTCCACGGTTTCTGGTTCAGACACGTGAAGGCTGAGCAGACGCTGCAAGATCCAATCTGCCAGCAAGAACTCCAGAGACAGTACCTCTGTCTGCAACTGTACTGGCACTGCATGTTGATGCATTTTTTTACATGAAAAAGAAATTTATTTATTTCTGACTGTCTGTACCACAAGGAAGATCTCAGGTTCACGTGTGTAACTTTCTTCCTCTACAAACTTGCAGGAGAACCTCAGATTCTACAACCCGGCTTGCTGCAGGCCAAGGAGTCTCCAACGTAGTGCTAATGCCTGGAAGGCATCCCTGCTGCAGGAAGCCTGCACTATCGGCTCCTAAAAGAAGCCAAAACGTCTTTGGGAAAAAAACTACTCTCTGTGTCTTTACGGAACCTGAGAAATCTCAACAAGGAAGTCTCGGCACTGAGAGCGCTGTTCAGCGACTGGAATTAAGCATCATGGTATTTGCCAGCGATCTTGCAGTCACCCTTTGTCACGGTCTGTTTCGACCTCTCAAATTCACAGGACAACATACTCTGCGAATTAAACTTTAACTGATTTCTTTCTTTTGCACAGAAGAGCATGGATTAAGTTATAAGTTATGAAACCTTCCGACCTGAATAGTGAATAAGTGAATTCAGGTGATTGATAGGCCAGTCTGAGCAAAAGGGATTGACCCCTGCTGTGTGTGTTTGTTGTATTTCTTAATGAGCTCATGAAATAAAGTTTAATTCACAGAGTACACTGCCCTGTAAATTTGAGAGATCCAAATGGACCGTGACACCCTTAACACAAGACAAAAGTTAAGGTAGAAATCAATAAAGGACTTATGCAATCCAAATATTGGCATTGCAGCTATTATTTCTGTACAACTGCCACTGAACCTAAGGGAAACAAGACCATCCACCTCGCAGCAGCTCCGCAGGTATTTTCTCAAGTGAACAGGTATTTGGTTCTTGCCTCTATCAAGTCACCAGGATGCTGGTAAAGCACCAAGGCTTGGGTCCAGCTCTTAAGAAGAATCTTTGTCTTCATTCGCATCTTCTGGAAGAGGATCTCCGCTTAGGAACACGTTTGTCTCCCAAAGCACTTTGAAACTTTCCCTGTGATGCTGCTTGCAACCAGGTTTGCCCTCTCTCCAGAAGTTTCTTTTGGAATGGAACTTACGCAGAGAGTTGTTTTTAACACTCTGTAGAGTACTAGTGCCTTCTTTGAAAACGGCAGTGTCCCCTGGCCTGGACAAATGGGGGTGACATTCTGCCCTGCTGCTAGTGTCTCTGCTGGGACTGACCCATAAACGAAAGGCTAATGTTTTTTGAGTTGGCTTTCTGTCTTCATCAGCGAGGTGGTTATCATGCCTCAGCATCAAACCCCACTACGCTCCCAAATCAACTGGCACATCAACTTGACATTGGCAGTGGTACGGACAAGTCCAACAGCTCTTAACTACAAGCACTAAGGTAACTGATCACTTTGGGACGGCAGTAGGTTAAGGAACAAGTGATCCCCAGCTTTGACCTTGAGAGCTATTAGATCACATACCTTTAAAGAAATTTGCTGCAAAGCCTGCTTTGTTTATGGTTGCATCAGATGCAAACTTCATCCATACTTTATTTGAGCTGGATTTGATATCTTCTGGCTTCTCGTAGCCACAGAAGTGACCGATCAGTGGGCTGTATTCAGTGAGGCCATCTCGGATCTCCAGGTAGTCATAAGAACATGCATCATGCCATTCAACCTGTAATGGGAGAAGGTGTGCCTGTAGCTCACCAGTACGAGTGCCCCGGGCCAGGCCAGCCACCCGGTTAGACTTTGGCCAGAGACCGGCTTCCAAAGGCACGTCCCAAACAACGGGTCACAGCTCGGTCCTTGCCTCGCCACCAAACTCTCCTGCAGCTGAAACCATGTTCAAGCCCGGGCACACCTCAGTCCTGCTGCCGCTTCACGGCTGCCCCCCACCGAACCCCCGCCCCAGACCATCCATAGCTGCTTCTCCACGAGCAGCTGTAAGAAACAGCACGGGAGGGCTCAGGGAGCAGCCGTGGGGTCGCAGCCCGGAGGTGACACTGTCAGCCCCTTCCAGGACAAGAACAGCAAGCCTGCACCAGCCACGGGAGCCTACGGGCTCGACGGGTTTTATGCACCAGCCCAGGCCCTGTCCACTCCTGCCTGTGGCTTAGACGTCAGCCATCAGCAGCACATCACCGGGCTCCTCACAGAGAGCATGCAACCTCCTATAATCCATCCCATAAAACCTTCTCTGACCCTTCAAAGCCCGTCTGCCAGCGGGGAACATGGCGTTTCTTTAGAGAGTCACAAATGCCCTGAAATCTGCCAAGCCCCAGTGACACCAACAGGGTTTTCTTGCCTTGACTGTGACCATTCCATTTCCTTTGACCAGAGTGAAAAGTTCAGGACTCCTGAGTCCCTACTTCACATCATCGGCAACTTCGTGCCCCTTCTAATCCTTTCTGTCTAGAGTAACAGTTTCTGAAAACTCATAATATTTAAAAATTGGTTTCAAAATCTCTGAACAAACTTCTGGTGAGTAGAAATGTTGTTCTGAACTACTCAAAAGATTTATTTTATTATTATTATTTACATCATTTCCTTCTTAATTTTAAAGGATCTACAGAAGTGAAACGATATCCGTAATATAATACACAATGACATTTCTCACCTCAAAGGCTTGGAATGTGATTCCGATGTGAAAGCCCTCCGAAACGGTGATCTTCCAGACGCACTCTTTGGAAGGTCTGTAGTCATCTGGGTAATTGGGAGATTGGATCTGGCCAGCGTCCCTGTGAATTTCTCCTCCACAAAAAGCTCCATTAAAAAAAAAAAAAAACCCAAAACCAAACAAAAAGAAAAAAAACATGAGATTGCAGCTTTTTCCTTAGGTAAAGCCTGTTCCACACACAGCCTTCCTCCTCAGTCAAATCTGTGCCAATACTGCTTTTTGCGCAAAGGCAAGACACAAGTCTTGGAAGTTTTTACAAATTTAACATTCTGCCTTAGTGACCGTGTCTCCCGGTCCGCTGCGCCGACCTCCGCAGAAGGTGAACTCACTGGGACAGAGAATTCCTATGGATTTGTGCGTTTCGCTCTCCTGACCACCTTCGTAACTTTTTAAAACCTGCTACCAGCACTAAGGACCAAGAAAAGCTGGCAAAAAAAAAAAAAAAAAAAAATCCCAAGAAAACCCACGCTGCAGATCTATTCCAGCCACACGATGGCAATATCAACGAGCCTGAGCTGGTCCCCAGCAGACCAACTGGCTGCCCGCTGCGCACGAAGACCTAACTGCTGTGCTAAACGTAAGAACCAGCAAGCTTAAAGACCAGGAACAGAAAATTTAATGAAAACCCAGTTTAATACAAGACTAGTAGGGACCTTGCAAACCAGAGGAGCTCAGTGTAACTTGACAACGCGCTGCATTAGCAGCTCCGGCGCGGCTCTCCCCGGCATGGCCTGGAAGTTGCTTGCACTGGGTAGCATCGTCTCAGGGTTGCCTCGCGGGCTGCTGATGTTGAACTGCGACCTAGTACGAAGCACTGTTTCGCTAGGGCAGTGCTAACTTCTCACTCCAAGAAGGACATTGAGGTGCTGGAGCGTGTCCAGAGAAGGGCAGCGAGGCTGGGGAGGGGTCTGGAGAACAAGTCTGATGAGGAGCAGCTGAGGAGCTGGGGCTGTTCACTCTGGAGAAGAGGAGTCTGGGGGGGGACCTTGTCACTCTCTGCAGCTGCCTGGGGGGAGATTGTGGTGGGGCAGGTGTTGGTCTCTTCTCGCAGGTAACTAGCATTAGGACAGGAGGCGGTGGCCTCTGGTTGCATCGGGGCAGGTTCAGACTGGATATTGGGAGAAATTTCTTTGCTGAGGGAGTGGTCGGGCATTGGGGCAGGCTGGCCGGGGCAGCGGTGGGGTCACCATCCCTGGAGGTATCTAATAAACGTGTAGATGTGGCACTTCAGAACATAGTTTAGCAGGCATGGTCATGTTGGGGTGATGGTTGGACTTGATGATCTTAGAGTTCTTTTCCAACCTTTACAATTCTATGATTCTATGAACCAGTGCTAAGGCACCACCAAATAGCTGCACCCAAAATCCAGCTGCAGAGCACAATTCAGGCTGTAGCTTGAGTTCGTATATTCAGAGCTACAAGTGGTGCTAGAGAGAGGGACCCTTCGGAGGACTGTCTGCCCCACCAAACAGAAAGAGGACTAAAAAAGCAGAGAACTGACAATTTATTTTTTTTAAACAGCCATCAAACTGTCAGCCAGCAAACTATATTTTCTCTACCCACTGCAGTAGTTCACGCTGAAATTCAGCTGAGCACCAAGTATACTGGAAGAGCTTTACAGCAAAACAGAAAGAACATCTGCTGACAGAGCCTGAGAAAGCAAGAACGATGACAAATTTGGGGCTGCCAGCAGTGCTTCAGGGCAAAACATGATGGTGTAACAACAAGAGTGGACAAGGGAAAACCAATGGACGTCATCTATCTGGATTTTTGTAAAGCCTTTGACATGGTCCCTCACAACATCCTTCTCTCTAAATTGGAAAGAGCCATGGATTTGATGGGTGGACTGTTCGGGGGATAAGGAATTGATTGGATGGTCGCAGCCAAAGGGTAGTGGTCAACGGCTCAATGTCCAGATGGAGACCAGTGATGAGTGGAGTCCCTCAGGGGTCCGTACTGGGACCGGTGCTGTTCAATATATT